ATCGTCATAGGGGGTGACCACAGTGTTCTGCCTTAATTCGTGACGTTTTTCTAAGAACTGGGTGCTATGTACTGTGCGAAATCAATCGATCTTGCAAGAATAAATTTTTGGACATCCCTCTTCTAAGAATTCCAATTGAGTGTGTTAGTGTGGCCAGCTCAGGGCAATATGATATTATAAACACAGCACATATCACGTCTCTGCTGTTTATAACTTCATAGCAAAGAAAACACGCCATTCATAACAGCCTGAACGAGGAAACCGCTCGCAAGAGCAACAGGAAATTTGCTGCAAGACAGGCATATGTAACGATGACTTAGCGCAGCTAAACTCGTGGCTTATTATACTCTGTTCTACTGACAACAGGCCAGCGAAAAATCTAACAATCTACAGCAAAACCATCAATTATTATGGGCGTTATAACATAGGTGTGCAGCTGGATGAAACATAGACGTCGAACCCCCGCAGACGATTTAAATACCTGACGAAACATACACGTCAAACCACGCTGAACGGTTAATTAGTGCAATTACTGTCTGAGGAAGGGGAGAATGGTGTTCATGCTGTGTGATGGCACATTTCAGCAAGTAATTGAAACGGATAGGAAAATTTGATGAAATGTCTACAAATTTTAGCATGAGCCACCATCTTTGAGCCGATTGTCTAGATAATGTGGACCCTCAACGTCTCACAAGCCTATGGACCTTCACGGCCTGGTACAGGGATAGCTTTACTTTTTACTTTTACTTTACATAAGAATGTAAAGTAGTATTCTATGATAGAAATATCCTTGTAAATGGGAGAATCACCTACAGTGTGGCTACAGAGAAGAGAATATCTGTGAGCATTGAGTGCAGTGATTGAGGGAGTCTGGAAAATTACAGCAGACCAGAGCTTGCTAAGGGGGAACTTAGTGAATGCTACTTCATTCAGAAATTTAAAAATAAATCTTACCATTCTGAGTGCAGTGTGGAGCTAATTTGATTTCATTGCTTTATTTCTGACAACTGAACTGTTATTACCAGGGCCCGGATATTGATGACATGTTATCTTTTTTTCCTTGTATCCTATGCGATGCTCTTAAATATATAAATCTCGGATATGAGCTGCTGGTTACAGAAATGTAAATTTTATAGGTAATTTTTTGACATGTTTAGTTTTGAGGTCATTTTTTTTTCATTTTTAGGGTAATTTTTTGGGCTTTTAAGGGTATTTCTTGTCATTTTTGGTCATTTTAGGGAATTTTTCTTCATATGTTTTCTGAAATGTGAATAACATGGAAGCGAAGTGTTCTTTCTTTTCTCCTTTAGGTCATTTTTCTGGATTTTTTCGGTCATCTTATAGGTAATTTTTTTAATATTTTCAGGTCATCAAAATCCGGGCCCTGCATATTACATTTTTGGGTCATATTTTAGGTCATTTTTTAAATATTTTCAGGTCATCAAAATCCGGGCCCTGGTTATTACTCTTCTGAGAATAAATTATCTTTCAGATTTTATTCCAGTTGAAGGTTCTTATGTTTTTATTTCTCGCAATTTTCTACATATCCCTCAAACAGCAATCACCCCTCATTAGTTTTGTTATATTGTCACTCAAAATTTTGCATGGTCTGTACCCTTTCCAGTGTCCTACTGGACTCTGTTCTAATGCCTGGCATGGTAATCCATGATCTTCTGTTTGACAAACATGTTGATGCTGTGTCAGTCATTTTTAACCTACTTCCCTTAGTTTGAAAAAATATGAAATGGAAATGTTGCTAGGCTACAGTTTAATAAGCATATTCCCATGGCGACAAATACGTGTGCAAAAAAATTGCTGGCAGACTGTAAGACCAAGCAAACAAAGTTCAGTACACAAAAACAGATGATTAAGTGACCATATGATTACAGTGCTACAAGCTGGAAGGTCGCGGGTTCAAGTCCCGATGAGATCATTGGATTTTTTTCAATTGACCTAATCCTTCCAGCCACATTATGGCCTTGGGGTCAACTCAGCCTCTAACAGAAATGAGTACAAGGAATTAATTAAATAATTTTCCTGGGGAGTAAAGTGCAGCTAGTGCGTAAGGCTGACAACGTTACCACCATCTTTGAGCTGATTGTCTAGATAATGTGGGACCCTCAACATCTCAAAACCCTATGGGCCTTCACGTCTTCTTACAGGGATAGCTTTACTTTAATTTACTTATGATTACAATAATATGTTACACAAAGTTGGAATTTGTATGCAGGATGGCAGTGGTAATAAATTACGTCTGACTCCCAAGAAGTTGTTGAAGCAAGAATCTCGTATGATGAGGCCATCAGTAGAGTCACCAGCTGGCCCATCAGCTGTCCGCTCACCAGCTTTCAAGATGTCAGGCTATATGGTATTCTCATTGCAAGAACTGAGACGCACACAGTTCATTCTCAATAAGGTGAGTCATTGTGATTTCATTCAACACTCCCTGTCAGCAACTGCTGTTGGCCTACCCTCAGCCCAGCTATTTTTGGCAGTAACTTACAGTGTAAATTCCTGTTTATTTACTGTCCAGACATCCAGAATTTTCATGCAACTGGACAATAAAAAAACAACAAATGTTTAAAGTTAATTCGAAAGCAAAGTTGCAATTCACGTATGTTCGTCTGCCATTCTGTATTTTTCCCAGCCACTGCTAGCGACACTCCCTAATTGTCCTCTTCAAGCAGTTTTCTTTAGAATGGTAGTGATCTGTGATTCATCTGACTACAACGAGCATTGTACCTGACTGGAAATGCCTGGCATCCACAGTGCAGGCTTAAAGGTCACATTGAATGAATGCATGAATGTATAAGGGGTGGCCTTCTTGTACCTTGCACCGCAACCTACAGTGAGCTATTGTGTAAAGATCACATTAATCAGTTGTTATGTTTTAATTGCTTATAAGCATACATTTTTATTTAAATGTATTTCTTATTTTTCTAATATATTTTTTATAGAATAAGTATTACAGAAACGCTTTTCATTTTTCTCAACAAAACCAGTGCCAATGTTCCTATTAATAATAATAAATAAAAATTTACAATTATTCATAATGTTTACACTGTGCAACCTGCAGATTAAGGGTAGTTGGGCAATGTGGCTTTTGTAGAGGAAGGTTCTACCCCACTTCTGTATGGGATATACATGTACGTGTAGGTGTGTTTCAGCCAATCTATCAAGATTAAGAACTTCTTCACTGATGTGGTTGACGTCATTACTTCTTGGGTACAAAAGTGCTTCCTTAACTTAATGTATGGAATCAAGTAAAGGCAGATTCTCTTCAGACAGTTCCTTAAGGTTATTAGTCATGTATCAATTATTTGGGTTAATGCATTGCGTGGTTGAGCTACCGAAGTGTTGTATTTTTTCAGTGCTGTTACAGTTATTCCCTGGTTCAAATATGGTTATCGAACATATACAGTCTTTCTCAAAAAGCCAAATCACCTGACTGTCTTACCATTGGCTTGTTAGCTGGAACTTTAGGTGTTACCTCCCTAGAAAATGGTATTTAGATTGGTGGTTAACAAGCCACTCATAAATATGACGTGCATTTCTTAAAGTAAATAAATTATTTAGAAGAACTAACTATCACAGTAGATGTTCAAAATGTCTCCCTTCCCCTATTAAACTTCTAGCCTCTTGAGAAGATTGTTTGACACTAGTTTTAGGTTAAATTTTTTTTAATTCACTTAATGGGGGGTGGAGTCCAGCTGGGTCCACTTGGCACGGTGGCCACTGATTGGCCTGTTGTACCTGCCCTGGATGATTATGATGATGGAGAATTTGGTGGATTGAAGATTGTCAGGGGAAACCGAAGTACTCGGAGAAAACCCACCTCAGTGCCACTTTGTCCACCACAAATCCCACTTGACCAGACCCGGGATCGAACCAGGGCCGCTGCGGTGGGAAGCCAGCGACTAATGGATTGAGCTACGGTGCGGCCCAAAAGACCTAGTTTTAGGTTACTGATCCCAGTAGATGTAATTGTTTCACAGATTTTCTTAACCCTAGTAGCTGTTAATGGGGTCTCCTGGACCCTACGCTATCTTTTATTGTATTGTAAATGCACATAGTGTGTTATAACATACTGCCTCCTAATGAGAATTCTCTTGATTGGAGGTCTTCTCAGTGTGTTATAGTGTTGTGTTTTTGCTCTATTTGACACCAAATGTGGCAGCTGACCCGACTAACAGGTTATCAACTGAGTAGCAAAATTTTCTTTTTTCTTTCTTTCTTTCTTTTTTTTTTTCTTTTCATTGCATATCTTTATATAATTACATAGGGTGTAAGGTAGGGTAAGAAGCAGAAATAAATAAGTCCTTGCTCTCTCTATATATCTCTAAAAATTTTGTATTTTTATGAAAGGGTCCTCAAAAAAAATAATCCTGAAATCTAGTAATAAGATCAGTACTTCATTTTCTGTTTTATTTCATATGTGAACTTCAGAAAAACATATTGTCATGTAGCACAGTGACTGAGATGTGGGTTTGGATTGGTGAGTTGATTTATTGAATCTTCACCAGTTGTAATTACAAAGAATTATAACGCTCCAAATTATTACTGAAACAATAACACATAAAGTAAAGTCTTCACACTACAATTCTTATCTTCGTTTGTAGCCTCCAGAACTCTCCTAGTGCATTCTGTCTGTTAGTCCATTATCTTGACTCCTCTTATAATCTTCTCTTGAAACATGGGAAGTCACTAGCCTCTCAATTGCCATGAACTCCTCTCAACTCAACTGCTGAACTGCTTTGAACGACATCCTCCTGACAGATCTTCTTGAATAGTCTTCACTGCTTCCTACATAGGCTCGGCATGGACCACCCACAGAAAACACATCAACTGCTTGGCAGCAGGTATCATGTATTGTCAGGCGTGCCCACCCATATATTGCCTAGCACTGAACACCCTTCTGTTGTTGGTTGCGTGTTTGTTGGAACATGTTTACAGCCCAATCTGTCACAATGTAATGGTAAAAGACAAAAATTAAATGGTCTCTAACTCAAGTAAACACATTTCTGAATGTTTTTTTTTTTTTCATAGTAGAAGGTTTTACCAGTAAAAGAATGTTTGAGTATTCCAGACCCTGGGAACAGGTACATGTAACAAAATTGGGATCAAGAGGTTCCAGAGTTAAGTTCCTCTGATGTATGAGGATTATTTGAATGCACTTTGTTTTCTAAGTTTGCCCCCACTTAAAAATCACAGGGATTTAAGTCTAGGGACATTCCAGGCCACAATTTGTGTTTTATCAGTCTGTCTTCAAACACCCTTTTTTATTCATGGAGTAATTAGCAGTGTGTGCTGTGGCATTCAGCTATCGCTAGCATAATATGCTGACAGTTGGGGTAGCCCAATTCAATCATAAGAGGCATGGTAGAAGTGGAAGATTTAAACCCTCTCCATTCACTGACAATGAACTGTTACCACATTGATTAAAATATGGCTTCCATCACTCTAGTCCTGGAAGATGTGAAACTCCTGTTCCTGAGTAGTGAAAGCAATGCTCATAATTGTGTAGTAGGAATGATGTCATTGCCTAAATATCCGTGAGCCAAAATCGTTCATGATACCAAACATCTAGACTTTGCTCTTTCATGAAAATAATTCCATTCTTTGTTGTATTCATATTTATTTTTCTATGGAATGACATAACCAATAAAAATTTTCTTTGAAGTTGTGTAGTCTGTGACATATCTGATTAATGATTTCCTATTGACTTCTCTAATGACTGTCAAATATGACAATCCAGTTTTCAAAGTGAAGTAATGGAAACAGTGAAGGATGTGTTTTGTTGCAGGTAGCATATTCTTCGTTGGAAGGTAATATACGGCTGCAACTGAGCACAGAACTTGAGCAGAATGTACGGGAAAGGGGATTTCTCACCATGTTTGAGGATGTGTCAGGGTTTGGAGCATGGCATAGGAGATGGTGCCTGCTTGAAGATGCAGTTCTTTCATATTGGAAATATCCAGACGATGAGAGAAAGAAGGTATTGTTTGCATCCTGTTGTGTGTTTCATAGTGTATCAGTCAACACAAAAATTCTGTAATAAACAAATCAGTACTGCTGTGTTATTATTTATAAGGTTATATTTTAGCATTCTATTGTACATTATTTATTAATTAACAAAGACTCTGACATTCTGTCTTACATGCAACACTCTTTTAAAAATTTGTTTAAAAATTACCACATTTACACAGTGAGATGAGTCTTTTAAACCTATTTAAAATCACATTGTACACTACATGTTTCGACCATTATTGGTCATCATGATGTGTTTTAAAACCGTTTGTGGAGAATACTGTGCTTTTTTTTTTTTGCACTTCTAATGTTCGATGTGTAGTTCCATCATCATCATTTATTTACATTCCATAAATCCACTACATATAGGATAAGGAATTATTCATTGATAATACAAATAACACTACATAGAAATAATAATATAAATAACAATATAAGACATTCAATACCATAATCACAGTTGATTATTGGAGTCAAATTTACAATCAAAGTATTCTTCCAAAGAATAAAACGAGTTCATCAACAAAAATCTTCTTAAAACAATTTTAAAATGTTTAACATCTTGAGCCAGGTTCCTTATATTAGGAGGAAGCCAATTAAAAACCTTAATACCATGGTAATACACTCCTTTCTGAAATACAGTCAACTTACATGTAGGATAATGGAATTTATTATTATATCTTGTATTCCTATTATATAACTCAGAATTTAACTTAAATTGATCTTTATTATTAACCACAAACATTGCAAGAAAAAATATATACTGAGATTGAAGGGGTAAAATTTCCAGTTCCCTGAACAATTCCCTACATGAATCTCTGTTCCCAGAGTTCATTATAATTCTAATCGCCCTTTTTTGCAACCTAAAGATATGAATACTATAAGGGGAATTACCCCAAAAAACCAAACCATAGGTCATAATTGAATGGAAGTAAGAAAAGTAAATCATTCTTAATGTACCCTGAGACATGTAAGATTTTAGGGCTCTAATCGCGTAACATGCGGAGCCCAATCTAGACATTAACCAATCCACATGTCCATTCCAAGACAATGTGTTATCAATAATAAGCCCCAGAAACTTAGTATTTGTAGTGTTAACAATCCGATCATCATCATCCTCAATATGAATATCCATCGGCTGGCGGTTCTTAGTCAGAAATTCGATAAAATGTGTTTTCTCAAAATTTAATGACAATAAATTATCTTGAAACCAATCATTTATGTTTTTAAATATTAAAGAAGCCTTGAATTCATAATCAGCAGACCTAGGGTTAGTAATGACTATGCTAGTATCATCAGCAAAAATAACGGGTTTGGACTTGTTCGATATGATATAGGGCAAGTCATTTATATACAACAAAAACAACAAAGGACCCAGAATTGAACCTTGGGGGACTCTGTTTTTAATTTACCCCCATTCTGAGTACCTCAGACCGTTATTCACAACAACTCTGATGCCTATCAGCAAGGCACGACTTAATCAAAGCACCAGCCTTATCAGCCACGCCGTAAAATTCCAATTTTGATAGTAATATATCGTGATTAACACAATCAAAGGCCTTTTTTGAGATCACAGAAGATACCACCAACAAACATACCATTGTTCAAAGCATTTAATACTTCATTAACTAGTTCATACGTGGCTATTTCAGTCGATGGTTTACTCCTAAAACCATACTGATCTTTAGCTAGTATATTATTATTAAGTACATGTCGGTGCATTCTTATATAAATAATCTTTTCAAAAACTCTGGAGAAAGTCATTAATGATATCAGTCTGTAATTAGACATATTGGTTTTATCTCCATTTTTGAATAACAGCTTTATTACTGAATATTTTATTCTGGTGGGGAAAACACCAGTTACAAAGGCTCTGTTACAAATATAGGCTAGTGGAGAACTAATAAATGGTGCAGTGGATTTTAAAATTTTTTACCGAGATCTCATCATATCCATTACAGGATTTGGGTTTAAAGGACCCAATTACACTTTCAGTTTCCTTATACATAGTCTGATTTAAGTGAATTTTAGGAAATGGTCTAATAAAGGCTTGAGTCATATATTTTGTATGATTAGCTGAATCAGTCCCAGTAGCATGTCTATTCGTTACCCTTTTAATATTATCAGCTATAGTTAGAAAATATTTGTTTAAAGACTCAGCAATCATCATGTGATCGTCCATAAGTTTCTCATCTATATTTAGAAACTGTATGTCCATCTTACTATTATTCCTACCAGATACTGATTTTATAACCTTCCAAGTGGCGTTAGCTTTGTTATTAGCATTATAATACCATTTTTTAGCTGTTCTAATAACACTAGACACGATTTTGCAATAATTTTTATAATAGGCTTTTAAATGAGGATCATTATTATTCCTCATGGTTATATATAAGTCTCTTTTATGCTGACATGATACCTTGATACCTTTTGACATCCAAGTATTATATTTAGAATCAGTCTTAATTAGTTTTTTAGGGAAATTGGAATAAAAATACGTAAGTAAGTATTTAGAAAGGAGTTAAAAATTGTATCTACATCATTAACAGTAAAGACGTCATTCAAAGTTTCATAACTTAATTGAATCGCAAATTCCTTCATGGAAGATGAACTGAAGATTCTTACAAATTGCAGAGGGCTACTACAAGTTTGTAAGTTAATGTTGTTCATATACAAAATTTGACCATTGTGATCAGATAGGCCATTTATAACAGCATTTATGGTGTAGTTTCCCATTCTACTAAAATCCACAAAAATATTATCAATTGCAGATGCAGAACCATTAAAAATTCTCGCAGGAAAGTAGACTGTATTAAAAAGATTAAAAGAAGATAGTAAAGCATCAAGTTGCTTCCTCCTATTATTGTAATCAAGATAGTTAACATTAAAATCACCACAAACAATAAATTCAGAACTCGTATTATACAATGACTTTAAAACATTCTCAATACCATTTAAAAAATAAGAAAAATCTCCAGTTGGAGCTCTGTATATGGCTAAAATATAAATATTAACAGATGGAATTAGAAGTTTGACTGCACATATCTCTAGATCCTGATCTCTTCAAAAAGCATTTAAATTCACATTTAGATAGTTAATTGAGTCATGTACAAAAATGCATACACCTCCTTGCCTGATAGATTTGCTACAATACTCGGCACCCAGATTATAATGTTCAATGTAGGTATGACATAAGTTCGTATAGTCAAGGTGATGTTCAGATAGACATAGCAAATGTGGGGATCGAGGATACAGTGCACTTATAATTTCATTAGTTTTCTCCTTTAAACCACGGATATTTTGATGGAAAATACTCATCGAATTATTATTCTTAAGGCATATTTTAGTCCTACTATCTAAGGAATCTGATTAGGCATTTAAATGTTCCATAAAAAATCATTATTTCTAGTTACTGGTAATTTCCTATTGCGTTTAACACTGCCCTGAGTTGAAGTCAGTGTCGAAGAGGACTTGTCAATTGATGGAACGACCAATTGAGTTACCTTATCGTACCACTCCAGGATTATAGGCTTAACCTTAACTCTTTCCAACAATAAAAATATCTGGGAGACTAACTGATTAGAAAATATTTCCTTGCCAAGTGTATTTAAATGTGAGCCATATTTGGTGTATAACAATCTATTGTTGATCGGTTCACTCATAAATACATGACTAAAGCTTTTGGTCAATTTACTCAACTCAACACATTCATGTTTCTGTAACATGTGTTAATAACCAGTGTGTGTGACTGGACTACACATTGAACATTGGAAGTGCAAAATGCAAGCATAGCAGTCTCTGCAAACAGTTTTAAAGCACCTGATGATGGCCAATGATGGTTGAATGTACAATGTGATTTTAAATAGGTTTAAAAGGCTCGATTGTGTATATGTAAAAAAATTAAAAAGCTATCTCTGTAACAGGCCATGAAGGTCCATAGGGTTGTGAGACGTCGAGGCTCCCATATTTTCTCTACACGTTCAGCTCAGAGATGGCAGAAAGGCTGTCAGGTCACCAGCAGTTCTTTATGCACCAGGAAGATTTCTGGTACTCATTTCTGTTAGAGGCTGAGTTGACCTCAGGGCCATACTGCGGCTTGAAGGATTAGGTAAATTGAAAAAATCCACCTCATCAGGACTTAAACCTGTGACCTTCTGGCTTGAGCATAGTGCCTCAACTAACTATGCTACTGTGTGCCCCCATTGTATATATGTAGTAACTTTGAAACAATTTTTTAAAAAGTGTTGCATGTAAAATGAAATCTCAGAGATATTTTTGTTAGTATTCATTTATTGTGTGGAAGTACTGCTACATGTTTTGACCCAGCTGGTTCATTATCAGGCAGTCATTAAATTAATTTCACTCGTTATTGGATTGTTTACTGAGATGGATCCAGATCGGTGATTTATAAATTTTTGATCGGTTTGCATTATAATTTTAACTGTTAAATTTAAATTATATATTTTGTTTAAAAATAAAATAATTCTTCTAATTATTTTTCTGTCATAATAGTGTATGTTGTACAGTATGGTGCTTTCTTAGGAGTCAGCGTTATTTTTTTTTTATTCCTAGTAAATGTGAAAGCAAATTATCTGTTATATTCCCATGCACTTGTTGCAACTGGTGAGGAGTAGAAACATACAGAAGCATTTTGTTTGTTTCTGTGTGTGTAGATGAGGAGAGGATTTACAGAGAAAGCTTTACCAATGAATTAACAGCAACAGAGCATGAATTCTCGGTACATTCATTTTNGTCGTTTACGCCAGCTCACTGGGAAGCCGGGATCTCTCCCTAGTCTGATAGTTTGGTCTCCCTACTGTTACAATGAATTTCACAAGCAGTCCCAGAGACAATAAAACATTTATTACAAAAGAAAATTCAGAACAACAAAAAAACAAACAAGGAATACACACAAGAGACTAGAATATTACAGAGTACAACAGACTGCTTGACCAACTCAATCCAGACCTCAGCACGTCTGATTACGCTTACGTAGCCACAGGACAGCCATGTTACGGCGCACTTACAATTCTGCTCAAAGCTCAATATGAACAATCCTTCTACCATTACAAGAAACCACACACGTGGCTTGGATTTCTCTGATTTCACATGGACAGCCAGATCATGAAATATACTCGTAATTCACTTGAAA